CCCCAAAACCCCCAAAACCCCAAAACCCCAAAACCCCAAAACCCCATTTATGCTTAAATATTAAGCTAATGGCTTAGTATGTTTAGAAAAAACAATAGATTACATAAATTATTACTTGCTTCACTTCTACCACTCCAGTACTCCACTTTTAGGCCGTAAGCGTTCATCTTGGATGCCAAAAATAGCATTTGGTGATTGGTTAAATTCCTCCACTTTGGAGACTACACTGAGGAAATCCTTATGACTTCTGATAATAAATCCTATGCCTATTCATGGATCAATCTTATTTAATTTTCAGAGTTCTTAAGTATTTTCACCTGAAAGTATCCCTATTAGTCTCAATGTTGTCTCTATCAGCAACTGTCTCCTGGCTGTAATGGGGGTCTAGCAAGATGAGATTATCCTTCTGGACTCCAACGAAGTAGAGACCAAACTTGCCCTTCCCTCCCATGAAGCCGATCATCTGGGGGATGTCGAAGAGTCTAGCGATTTCTCCATATGATTCTTCAGGAATCTTTTTCAGTCCAAGTCTAGCGTTTACTATAACTAGAACGCATTTGTCCCATTTCCTTGCATTATTACCGAACATGAATGTGTTATTGCTGTTGTCAGTCCAGGAAGTATCCTCTGACATAGACTTCGATTCTTCTTTATCTGCACTTCATCCTGAATGAGCGGATTTTGGCTTGAAATCTGATTTATCAATATCGTTGCTACCTCCAGATTGGTTAAATCCCCCTCTTTTTTGTTCAAAATAGTCATCTCCGTTGCTCGAACTGGATCAGATTGCACTGGATTTATTTTCAACAATTCTTGCTCCTGCCTCGATAAGGTCTTTATTTAAAGATGACTCCATCATTAAAGACGCAGATTTCGAAGTCTTCATAGGGCTTATGCTTGATATTCAGCTGCTTCATAACCTGTGAGATTGAATTGGTCCCATACCAGTCTCCAGCAATTTTATGAAAACTTTCTAATCCTTGTTCTGTGATATTATGGATGGAAAATGGAGTTCCTTCGTTGTCATTACAGTCCAAGAACTTTGAAATAACCTCATGTTCTATCTTCTCATATTCCTCCATGTTCTTTATATCTGAGATGGAGAGTCCTCGATGCACTATTTTGTAGAATTTATGGCTATCCCGGATCTTCCTATGATCCCGAAAGATAAGGTATTTGAGATGGAGCAGTAGAGCATTGGCGATCATCATCTGGCCACACCTGATCATACAGCCCCAACCGAAGTCTGATTTCAACTTCTGTGGTTTACCCGTCTTCTTATTAATACTTTCAAGATGGGTTTGGAAATCTCTGCGATAAGTGAAAAGAATGATGTTTTTAAAGATATCCTCAAGGTCTTCCTTGCATTTAGGATCCTCGAAGCAGTGGCCACCCATCAGTTTGATAACTTTCTTCCGACAGTTTTTAAAGTCTAGTTTGTTGTACTCACCAAATACTCCTCCAGCATGGTTTACTTTGTACATGAATTTACCGAACTTTTGCTTCATTCTGTCCTTCCAAGTTTTCTTAGGTTTCTTTTCTGATTTTTCATCTTCGGGTCTCTCTTGGCACTGAGCTCCATTTTCTTTAATAGGAGGTGACAAAAGAGAGAAGTCTCTAGCAATGAGTGTGGAGCTATCTAGAGATATAATTTTAGGATATGAGAGGTCAAATAACTTACCTTGATTTCTAATGCGTACAGTATGAGCTGGGGCTCGAGACTTAATTAATCTGTCTTCAAAGAAATCATATTCTTTCTCATTTATCTGAACATTTTCATTTTTATCAATATCACTTTTGGTTGGGATAATAGCTAAATCTTCACAGAGATCGAATTCTTGGTCCTTTTTGGCTGGTGACACCACATTATCAGACTTTGAACTTTCTCTCTTGTAATCAAAATAGTTTCTTCTCTGGTTTGGGTCAAACATCAGCTTGTCTATTTCATCTAAATCGGATCAATTTCTGCACGAATCACTCAAGATTAGTCAAGATAAATTATAAATTTGGCAAATTAATATCACTAACTTTATACTGAAAATCGGAGATTAATTACCTTTCATTAAGCGAGAAGGGTTGTTCCAATTACCTTTATTCTTTTCCTCATAGACATAATTCTGATTGAAATAGTTCTCATTGCATCCGGATAATATAGACTCATCATGCCTCTCTGATGGCTCTGTCTTACTAGGTATGATTATATTAGCATTAAACTGGTCTTTATTTCCTTAGGTCTAACGATAGCTTCTTGCAAATAGTTTTGTCAAACTCAATGCTGTCCTCGTTACTTCCAATCCTGACTTCCACTGCAATCTTCTGGTTATTACTTGATGGTTCCATTTATATTCTTCAATTTATATAAACCTTGAGGGGTTTTGGGGTTTTGGGGTTTTGGGGG